GTCTGGGTGGTGCAAACAGGTAAGTACTAAGCTATTAACTGAAAGGTTGTTGGGTCAAGTCCTCCCTGAGGTGCCTGGGAAGGAAATCTTGGTCAGCTGGAAAGATGCCATCATACCTGTAACCCACACATTTGTTCCCACTACCAACTTAATCCCTGAATAACTAGGTAAAGCAGGTAGAGATAATGATACTGGAGTTATGAGCAACTAAAGAGAAGATAAAGTATCAGATATCGTGAAGGCGGAGAAAAAGAGCAGATTAAACTGGAAAAATAAACTAACCTGCCTAGCCAGCGGAGACGGAGAGGCAGAGAAGGAGAGGACTCGTTAGAGATACAGAAGAGGTTGGTGGTGGGAAGGAGAAAAAAAGAAAACAACATCACGAAACCCACAGAGGCATTGGGGACTCAGAATATCCACACTGGAAGGTTTTGGCGATGACCTTGGGAGCTGAGCGAGTATGATAATCTTAATGGGAAACAGATCAAGAACCCCCTTGGCTTGGGCTGCCAGAGTCCAGAAAGGAGTGGGGGAAAGGGAGAAACTCCCTCCGAGTAGGTGGAACCCTGGAGCGAGTGCACAGCAGCAAGCTGGGGTCCAACTCTTCCACGACCCCTTTTTAGCACAGAGTGGACTGGGGTACTGGAATTTTGCAGCTTCTTGATTCAAGCAGAAAGTAGTGGCCCTCTACCCATTAGGGTCTCTGTCAACTTTAAACTGAGGTCTTTGATTGACAGTAGGACGTCATCATTAGTAGAGAGCTCAGGAAGACATAAACTACACTGCCTTTGCTGACAGCACTGACTGAACTGTCTCACCCAAATGCAGAAAATGGGGGCTTGCTACTGGTGCCTTTTTTTTTTCTCCATTTTTCCTTTCTCCTCTTCTCCCCTGCCTCATCCAATAGAAAGGCCACATGAAACTGCCACCAGGCAACAGGAATTATTACACTGAACACCTCACCCAATAACTCCTGCATAACAGAATCAAAGACAGATGGTG